GAACCAGATAAAAGATACGGAACAAGAGAGGTGCAGCGTTCTGCGAGTGGGCAGGTTCGGTTACAATGAAGAACGGGGACTTTCATTTCCGGTATATATGCAAATTCTTTATTTTATTTTATTTTTTACTTTTTTAAAAATTTAATTTAAATTATTAATTTAGTTTAAAATTATTCCTAGTTTATATTTAATTTTGATTTTAATATTTATGTTGAGTGATGATATTGTATTATTTTAGGTTTGAATTATTTTAATTAGCTTTAAGGTTAAGTTTTATTGAATTTAGGTTAGTTGATCGAGATTAATTTTAATTTTAAATCAGAGTTTAAGTTCAATTTAGATTTTCTTTTCATTTTCATTTAGTTTAGGTTTATGCATACATTTTAGGTTAACTGAACTTAGGTTCAATTTTTTAATTAAATTAAACTAATTAACAAACATTTTGGATTTATATTAATGTTGCTATAGAGGATTGTAGGTTGATTAGATTTAGGTTTTGTTTAGTGTAATTTTGATTAAAGTTTTCTTTGTAAATTCATTTTACTTTGTGTTTGAGTTTAATTTTATGTTTAGGCTTAAATTGAGTTTAATTGGGTTAGAATTTATATTTAAGTTCTAAGTTTAAATTTGAGCGGAGTGAATTTTGATTTTTATATTAAGTCCAAATTTGTTTTAAGGTTCATTTTGGTTGATTTTATATGAAGCTCAATCAAGTTCTAATTTAAGTTTTCTAATTTAAATTTAAAATGTGTTTATTTAATTTTGTCTGAATTTTGATTAATTTAAATTTAAATTTTATCCAAGCCCAACTTAGCCGACTAAAGCACACAATCCGACCTAGGTTCAATCGTGTCGGACATAAATCAACCTGGCCAAGCTAAGGTCAGCTAGACCTGATCCCAAGCAACCTAAACCAGTCAAGGCCAATCCAATCTGCTAAGGGTGGTAAGAAGGGATCTTATGCCTAGAAGAACTAGTCAGAAGTCAAGAGAGAGAGAGAGAGAGAGTTGTCCAAAATATGAGGTTAACAGTACTACTGTTATTGTTAAATATATTACATGATGGGGAGAGTTTTGTCATTAGCAGGTTGTTGACGTAGCATGTGGCTAACTAATAATGGTGATGTGATGAGATAATTTGTTCGATAGAGTTGGTGTATCTCCCTCTTTTTAAAAATGATATGGCCAAAGAGGCTCTAACTAAGAACAATGTATGAGCTCTTATGTTTCATGGTTAGTTTATTTACCTCTATTGACAATATGTGTTATCCTCCACCTGAATTTCACTCAAGAAGATTTGAATATATGATATTTGATGGGATAGCTTTGCATTACCCTAGACAAGTGCATGAAGAGACACCAAATCAAGAAGCTCAAACTTCTTATGATTTATTGAATGCTACTCAGAGACTATTGTAGGAGGGATGTACTCTCATTTTTAGTTATTCGTAGCTCTTAAAATGCTAAAAATTATAACAAGATTAATATGCTTGGAGAGTGCTTCAATCTTTTTGCAACATTACTGAAAGAGACTAATCCACAAGTGAATTTAGTTCGAGAAAACTTATAATAGACCCAAAAAAATTGGTCTCCAAGTTAGGGCTGAAAATAGAGAAGATTGATTATTGTGTGAATGCTTGCATGTTATTTTATAAGTCCAGTGCAGCAGAGATTGCATTTTCTGTAACTCTTCGAGATTTAAACCTTAAAATAAAGAAATAAGAGTCAGAAACAAGTTCCTTACATGTGTTTCTTCTATCTACATCTTATTTCACATCTTCATAGACCATTTGGGTCCTCGTGTACTGTTCCACATATGAAGTGGCATCGTAGCAGGTTAAGAGATATAAATTCAATGAGTCATCCTGCAGATGGAGAGACATGAAAAAGTTTTGATAGTTTATATCCTAAGCTTGCCACGAAACCACGTAACATGAGACTTGGCTTATGTTGGGATGGCTTCTCATTGAAGTAAGACCATTGGCAGGTGATCTTTATGTCAAACAACCCCCCCC